TAGCATTTCTTCCTTTATTTCAACCCTGATGAATCTGATGATTATGTGCCTTGGGGTTGCTCTTCTTGAGGAATATCTTTGTGATGTTCTCTGTATTTCCTGGACTTGAATGTTGGCCTGCCTTGCTAGGTTGGGGAAGTTCTCCTGGATAATATTCTGAAGAGTGTTTTCCAGCTTGGATTCATTCTTTCTGTCACATTCAGGTATACCTATCAAATGTATATTAGGTCTTTTCACATAATCCCATTTCTTGGAGGTTTTGTTCATTTCTTTTCATTCTTTTTTCTCTAATCTTGCCTTCTCATTTTATTTCATTGAGTTGATCTTCAATCTCTGATATCCTTTCTTCTGCTTGATTGATTCAGCTGTTGAAACTTGTGTATGCTTCACAAAGTTCTCGTTTTGTTTTTCAGCTCCATCAGGTCATTTACATTCTTCTCTAATCTGTTTATTCTCATTAGTATTTCATCAAACCTTTTTTCAAGATTATTAGTTTCTTTGTATGGGTTTAGAATATGTTCTTTTAGCTCAAAGAAGTTTGTTATTACCCACCTTCTGAAGCCTGTTTCTGTCAATTCATCAGACTCATTCTCGATCCAGCTTTGTTCCCTTGCTGGTGAGCAGTTGTGATCCCTTGGAGAAGGAAAAGCAGTCTGATTTTTGGTGTTTTCATCCTTTTTGCACTGGCTTCTTCCCATCTTTGTGGATTTGTCAACCTGTGGTCTTTGTCATTGGTGATTTTCAGATGGGGTCTCTGAGTGGACGTCCTTTTTGTTGATGATGAAGTTATTTCTTTCTGCTTTTTGGGTTTCCTTCTAACAGTCAGGCTTCTCTGCTGTAGGACTGCTGAGGTCCACTCCAGACCCTGCTTGCCTGGGGATCACCTGTGGCAGCTGCAGAACAGTAAGCATTGCTGCCAGTTTCTTCTTCTATTATCTTTGTCCCAGAAGGATACCTGCCAGATGTCAGCCTGAGCTCTCCTTTATGAGGTGTCTCTTTGGATATATGGTGGTCAGGGAGCTTCTTGAGGAGACAATCTGACCCTTATAGGAGCTCAAGTGCTGGGCTATGGGCTCTGTTGTTTTGTTCGGAGCTGCTTGGCAAGTACATTTAAGTTCACTGCAGCGGATCTCATAACCACCTTTTTTCCCATGTGCTCTGTCCTGGAAAGGTGGGCCTTTATTTATAAGTTCCTGATGTGCTGCTGCCTTTTTTCAGAGATACCCTGCCCGGCTAGGAGGTAGCGTAGTCACAGTCCACCAGCAGAGGCATTGCTGAGCTGCTGTAGGCTCTGCCCAGCTGCTGTGTGAACTTCCTTGCAGTTTTGTTTATAAATGTATAGTTAGAACTGCCTCAGTAATGGTGGTCTGCCTCAGTAATGGCAAGCTGCCTTGGTAATGGCAGATGTCCTTCTCTCCACAGAGCTGGACCATCCCAGGTCTAGCTGTGCTTGCTATGAAACTCTTAGTTCAGTGCGTTTCAGATTGCTGGTCTTAATGGGGGTGGGACCCGCTGAGCCAGATCACCTGGTTCCCTGTTTCAGCCCCTTTTTTTTCAATTGAATGGGCAGCTCTGTCTCCCAGGTGTTCCAGGCACCAGTTAAAATGGCCGCCCAGATTTGTGTGAGTTTTTGTGTGGAGACCTGCTGCACCAGCTGAAACAGCCACGCTGGAGATCGAGACTTGTGGTGCTTTTCAGTCCAGGAATCTCCTGGTCTGTGGGCAGTAATAACCCATTTGGAAATGTGGTGATCACTCACTCTCTGATTGTTCTTGCTGGCAACTGTGCTCCAGAGCTGTTCCTATTTGGCCATATTGGACCTGCTTCCTATAAGCTACAGTTATTAAGGTAAGTTTGTATTTTTGAAGGAAACCAAAAGTTAATCAATGGAATAAAGAGCCTAGAAATGTCCCTCCACATGAATCAAAATTTGATGATGATGGAAGTAGTATGTCAGGTCAGTAGAAAAGAAAAATAACCAAATAAGTGATATTAGATTCCTACTTTTACCACATACAAAAATCAACTCAAGATGGATTAAGGACTTAAATATGAAAAATAAAACCTTAAAATCCATATTAGAAAATATAAGTAAATACAATTTAGCCCTTAGTCTAGGGAAAGAAATGCAAGATTTTTCAAAAGTGTCTGGTACAAATATTGATCAATTATATTAAAAATATATTTTGTTTATCAAAAGATATCTTAAGAAAATGGAAAGAAAAATGTCAAATTGAGAAAAGACAATTGCAATACACACATTATTAGTATCAAGAATATATAGATTCTACCAATCGACAAGAAAAAATACACAACATAAGAAAAAGAAAGTATAATAAAAGACATTTCTCAGAAAAGGAAACATATACAACCAATAAACATATAAAGAAATGTTCAGTATCATTAACGGTGAAAGAAATATCAATCAAGAATGCTGTAATATACCATTTTAGGCCTATTTGATTGGCAAAAATACAAAAGAAATGTATTTTCAAGCAATAAGAGTCTAATGTATTCCAGTTTGGCTGAAGGGTAGTATGTGCTTTATATAATAATCTTATAATGGCAGTTTGAGGCTAACCCACAGAGAATATTAAATGCTATTAAGTTGTGTAATTCTGAGCACCTGAGGTTGTAAGGTAACCTCTGGCTACTCAGATTCTCTCATTGAAATGAAAAATACCTTTCCCCAAAGTAGTGATCCATGACTTAGCTCTTCAAGGCATCTTCTCTGTTCTCTTTTACAAACCACTGGTCACATGTTTTATATTACAGAATGTAAAGCATGAAAGAAATGCTCAATTTTTTACATAATTTTTTTATTTTGGCATGCAACTTTCAGCACTTCAACTTAAAGGAATGAGGAAGTTAGGGATTTCAGACATTTTGGTAAGTGGAAGAAATTTTTATTTTTTGTTTCAGTAAAACAGACACTTTTATTGACTGAATGAAACTCTTGGTGTCTCTCAAATGCCTGGAAAGCCACATGAATCAGATTTCATCATTTAGATAAAAAATGTGTTCGAGGGCTCAAATTATAGAAATGGTAGCTATGATTAAACAATATCTGTGTGAATAAAAATGTCATCTGATATTACAAAATACATACATTTTATCAAAGCCCCTTCATATACTTTTTTGTATTTAGAAAAAAAAATCCATAAGGCAGGGTAAATATTATTCCCACTTGCTGAGTGAGATATTGAGAGACAAAGACTGAATGACAGCTTGAACTCGATGGCCTCTTAATGGTAAAACTAGTATTAAACTTCAACTATCCTGAGTCAGAGCCCCGTCTTCTTATTCTTTCTCTCCTCTCTTTTCACCTCTCTCTATTCTTTCTTCCTTCTTCCCTCCTTTCCTCTCTTTTCTTAATATTAATTTTACGAGCTTTAAAAATATATTTATTGTTGAGAATTTAGAAAAGCATGAAGAAGAAATTAAAATCACAATTCTACCACTCAGATAACCACTATTAAAATATTAGTGCACAGTTTCTAGTCTTTTTCTTTGTTTGTTTCTTTCTTTTTTAGAGATAGGGTCTTGCTCTGTCACCCAGACTGGAGTGCAGTGACATGATCATGGCTCACTGAAGCCTTGACCTCCCAGGGTCAAGTGATCCTCCCACCTCAGGCTCCCTAGTAGGTGGGACTACAGACATGCACTACAATGCATGGCTGATTTTGCTGTTGTTCATGTTGTTGTTGAGATAGGGTCTTGCTATGTTGCCAAGTCTGGTCTTGAACTCCTAGATTCAAGCAATTATCCCACCTCAGCCTCCCAAAACACTGTGATTACAGGTGTCAGCCACTGTTCCTTACTCTAGTCTTCTTTGTTCACATACATTTTAAAATTAGGAATCACATTTAGATATAGCTTTTGTTACATGCTTCTTAACTTAATGATATAATGTAAATATTTTTCCAAATGATTAAATATTTTTCAAAAACACAAATGTTGGTTGTGCAGTATTGCATTATATAGGTATACTAGAATTCGTTTAACCAGTCTATTCTACTGTTGTAGCTTGTTTTTGATGCTTCACTATTAAGAACAACACAGCCCTGCACATATATAAAAATAAATCTTGATTCTTTTGTAATGATAGATTTTTAGAAGTGGCATTCTGGCATACTTGTTTTTTGTACTCTAAAACATATTGTCAAGTTGCAATTCAGAAAAACTCTACCATCAGCTATTCATGTGGGAAGTGCTCATTTCCATGAGTCTTTGCCAATATTGCTATTATCATAAAAAGTGATGGTTAGATCAATGAAAGTAATATTTGTTCTTTTAACAGATATTTACTGAGCAATTGCTGTGTGCCAGGCACTGTGTTGGGTGCCAAAAATTATCTCTCTCCCCAAAGAATTACAGTCTAGTGGCAGTTATATTCAAGCAATTTTTTTTTCTTGAGACAGGATCTTGCTCTGTCACCCAGGCTGGAGTGCAGTGGCACAATCACAGCTCACTGCAGCTTCCAACTTGTAGGCTCAAGGAATGCTCCCTACCTCAGACTCCCAAGTAACTGGGACTATAGGTGCACACCATTGTGCTAGGCTAATATTTTTTCTTTTCACTTTGTACAGAGATGGGCAGGGTTAGGGGGAATCTTGCTTTGTAGCCCAGGCTGGTCTTGAACTCCTGGTCTCAAGTGGTTCTCCGCCTTGGCCTCTCAAAGTGCTGGGATTACCCACAGGAGTCACCACACTGTCCCAACTAAATTATACTTCTATTCTCACACAGTACTATAGGAGCACAAAGGAAAGATGCCTTCTCTTGAAGGACCATAGAAGGCCCCCTGGTAGAAGTATGCCTGAGTTGGGGCTTCATGGATGAGTAGGAGAGAGGGGATAAACCATGGTAAAAAGGTTCCAGGCAGAAGAAACAACACATACGAATGGAGAAGTAAACATGGTGTATGGGTTCAAATGCCTTCAAGCACATAAAACCCCACTCAAGCTGGCTAAGCCAGGAGCCAATTTAGGATCTTACATAACAAGAGGTCTCTGCAGCGTGGCCTCAGGCAGAGTCCACCTGGCTCATCTCTGCTTTGTGTTCTCCTGGCTCTTCCCTCCTCCCAGCCTTCTGCTCCATCCTCGGCATAAGAAGATGTATTGTCTTTCCCACATGACCCTTAAGAAGTGAAAAAAAAAAAAAAAAGCAAAACTCTTTGACCCGAAGCAGACAACTTCTCTCCATGTCTTATTGGCCAGGCTTGGGTCACATTGCTGGCTAGGGGAGTGAGATCACCATGTTTGGTTTGGACTAATCGTTTGGAGAGTTGAGGAGTCAGCAATCCATTCACCGTCTGAGGAAGTGCCAAGAGCTGAGTACGGCTGCAGCACAGGCAGGACGTGGTGAGTGGCAGGAGATGAGGCGCCAGAAGCTGAAGGAACAAAAGGCCGTTTCATGAAGGAGGACGGAAAAGTGTCCAATGCTGCAACGAGGTCAAGTGGCAGGAGGCTGATCGTAATTATTGTCAGCTTACTGGGTGCACGAGAGGGCAATTTTAGTTGTGATGGTTGAAGTCAGATTTCAGAGGTTTGGAGACTAAATGTGAGATGGGGGTGGAATAATCAGGGCGCAGATTCTCTCACAGGAAGTGAGGCCATGAGCAGGGGGTGACAGGACGAGGCAGAGCAGAGTCAAGGGAGAGGCGTTTTGATGCGAGAGGCTAGAAGAGGCCTCAATGCCAAGGGAAAGGAGAAGGCAGAGAGGAATTGTGGAGGAGAGGGAAGAAAAACAGGATTATCTTTCCCTGAGGAAGGTGGAAGGGTGGCCATCCGTTGGTGGGGAGGGAATTCCCAGGAGAATAGAAAGCTTTGAAAACTCTTCCGGGGAAGGGAGCATTGATAGCGCGGAGGGCCCAGGTGGGGTTGGGGCATTTGAATTTGGAGCAGCCCGGGTGGAGTGATTTCTCTCTAGGAGCACGTGGTAGCTAAGGTGTTGGCTTGGAGGTGGCAATGGTTGGCCTGATCCAGGATGAAGTGACAGATCACACAGCTACATGTGATGGGAAGAGGAAGGGAATGCACCGCTGTTAGGAGAAGACGTAGGGGTGTAATGGGAGTAATTGGATGAAAGTTAATGGACAGAGGTGCACGTTTGAATTTTGCATTTCAGAAGTGGAACCGTTTGGGGCTATAGAGAGTGTGAGCCCACGTGGAGGTGGATGAATAAACTGAAAAGTAAATTTTTTACAAAATAGGATGATAGCAGTCTATACATTGATTGTGAGGGCATAATGTGGGCATTATGAAGGGCAATTTGGCATCTTTAAAAACTAAAACATGCACATCCTTGAATTAGCAATTTTAACTGTATTCCATAGATTTACTTCCACATGTGTGAAATGATGCATAGTGAGAGTTATTCACTCAAGCATTATTAATAAAAGACTAGAAACCTAAATCCATCTAGGATTTGGTTAAAAAGAAGGCAGTTCTGTATTCATTGATGTGGAAAGTTACTCCAATTACAGTCTTAAAAAAAAAAGCACAGGCTGGGTGCGGTGGCTCACGCCTGTAATCCCAGCGCTTTGAGAGGCCAATGCCTGCAGATCACGTGAGGTGAGGAGTTTGAGACCAGCCTGGCCAACATGGAGAAACCCTGTCTCTATTAAAATACAAAAATTAGCCAGGCCTGCTGGTGGGCACCTGTAATCCCAGCTACTTAGGAGGCTGAGGCAGCAGAATTGCTTGAACCTGGGAGGTGGAGGCTGCAGTGAGCCAAGATTGCACCATTGCACTCCAGCCTCGGTGATAAGAGCAAAACTCCGTCTTGGGGGAAAAAAAAGAAGCAAAAATAAAAGAAATTATAAAATTTTACCATTTATGTACTAACACACACACACAAACACATACACCCCATAAAATATCTGCGCATTTACATAGGCTGATTATAAGAGTTGCCTCCACTGATGTGGTGGCTCATGCCTATAATCCCAGAACTTTCAGGAGGTCAAGGTTGTGGGGATCACTTTAGCCCAACAGTTTGAGACCAGCCTGGGCAACATACTGAGATCTCATCTCTACAAAGAAATTTTAAAAATTAGATGGGTGTGGTGGTGAGCACCTGTAGTCCCAGCTACTTGGCAGGCTGAGGTGGGAAGATCCTTGAGTCCCTGAGTTTGAGGTTACAATGAGCTATGATCGTGCTACTGCACTCTAGCCTCGGCAACAGAGCAAGACGCTGTCTGTACAAAAAATAATAACAAAGAAAGGTAAAAGGGGGTTGTCTTTAGAGAGTTCCTGTAGAGCTGGGTGGCTGGATGAGAGTGGAGGGGGAATTCCTAATTTTCATTATCCCTTCCTTTGCTTTCAGTTTTGTTTTTGTTTTTTAACCATGTGTGAGAAGTGGTTCTTTGTAGGAAAGAGGGGAGGGTGGACTCTCAGATCACATTACATACCCAGGTGCCCACTGATACCCACCTGCAAGGTTTTGGGAAGACAAGATCCAAGAGGGAGAAATAGTGAATCAAGCGTGTGAACCGAAGCTCCAATTCTGCTGCTCCTAGGGGCATGACCTCTGCAGGAAATGAAAATGGGAAGAATAATATTCTTACCTCTCAGGATTGTCCTAAGGAACCAGAGAAATTATAAATGGCAAAACAATATTAAAAAGCCAGGTATTTATTCAGCAAACATTTATTGAACGTTTACTATACTCCAGGCACTGAATTAAAATGGTAATTATTTCAGTACTTCAGTAATTCTTTTTTCCTCATCTAAATGAGTGTTTACAATTGTTCACTGTTATGGCTTGTTTCTTGCTATATATAAGTTGCCTTTCTATCTGCGTCCCTAACCTGTCCCCAGACTCCCACCCACACCTGACTAGCCTTTGTTTATACTTCATTAACTAGAACAGAATTTCTTAAGTTGCCCAGGGACCTGATTCAGCCTCCAGACATGTTTTATTTGCCCACAGATTGTTTAAATATTTTTGAAACCGTAGACAACAGTGGACAAAAAACAAACAAACAAAAAAACACAACCAGATACTTTTAAAGTCCAGATTTTGAACTTTTCTAGAAAAATCAGAAGACCTGGCAACAATGTGCCTCGGGGCAGCAGACCACTGTAGCCAAGCACGGTGGCCTCTTTGGCCAGGCTGTGTGCATTCTCTCTTCTGACGCGATCCTCAGCCATACTGTGTAGCTCCTGTCTGACCCTGCGGACAGAAGAATTTCTCACACCTGGAATAATGCCAGGGAGGTGCTCTGTGGTGACCGTTGCTTACTTTCTTGGCTTACAAGTGAGTGTGGAAACAGGGGGGCTTTCCTATTCCTGTCAGCACAGTCAGGTCCTTATTCAGGGACCAGGTTCAGGTCTAAGAGGAAGCAGGGGACTTGGCCAGGGCACACAAAAGACACAATGATTAAAGGGTTGGAAACCAGAACCTATGAGGTAAGTTTTAAGGAACTGGATGTTTTCCTGGAAAAAAAGAGGATAAAGGATGACTCAATTGTCTTCTTTTAAGTGACGGGGGTAATTATGAAGAGAGTGATACCAGCTGCTCTCCACCCCAAGCCCATGATAGGAAATGTGTGAGGCTAGCCGCTGAGCCATAAGGGACTTCACTAAGAATTCAGGTTGAGAGACAGGTGCCTCCATCTGCCTTAGGCCATTATGAGGGTCAGGCTAGACTCTTCTGTCTGAAACTCAAAAAATAAACTGGGTTGACTCCTTGAATTCTTTCCCAGCTTTAATTCTTAATGCCTTCCTCTACCATATTCTCTTTTATTTCTGCAGGCTTTCAGAAGAAAGTTAGAATAAGCTTTCCTGAATAAGAAAACATGGCATGAATCACTTAAAATTCTCTTTAGCAGCATCTATCCTTGATGTTACCACACTAAAAAATGTATGTATACTCTTTCTAAACATGCAATTAGAGCACAGCTGGGAAAGTACTTAAGATTCTTTTCCCGAGTTAACTTGTTACCAGCCAAATTGCTATGGACATAGCTTGCTCAACTGATGCTAGGGAAATAGTTCAGAGGACTTCATCAAGTGCAGTGCTTATGTAGATAAAAAATATTTCCTACATTATCCAATCTTAGTTGTTTTTACTTAGTTTAAAAGATTATGGCGAGTTTTCATGTCTGTCCCTGTTGTGAATTCTGTGAGTCAATGCAGAGGAGCTGGAAAAATTTCCCAGGATGTCGCAACTACTGGACAGCGTCTGGTACAGTAAATTAGAACACACACTCTGGTTGATAAATGGCAATGGGACATTTAACATTTCAAAATAACAATCACCCTTTGTTGTAAGCCAACTGGGTGCTGAGTGCTTTTCATGTTAATCTTCATAATGACCCTGTAAGGTAGGTATCAGTATTCTCGTTTGACAGATCAGAACAGAGTCAGAGAGAGGAGTCACTTTCCAAGGCCACATGAACAATAAGTGGTGACATCCAGATTCAAGTCTAAATCCAAATTGAAATTACTTTGACTCTCAAGTCTGTGTTGTTTTCTTTTGTTTTTTTCATTTTTTGAGACGGAGTCTCACTCTGTCACCCAGGCTGGAAAACAGTGGCACGATCTCGGCTCACTGCAGCCTCTGCCTCCCAGGTTCAAATGATTCTCCTGATCTCAGACTCCCGAGTAGCTGGGATTACAGGTGCCCACCACTATGCCTGACTAATTTTTGTATCTTTTAATAGAGATGGGGGTTTCACCATGTTGGCCAGACTGGTCTCGAACTCCTGATCTCAGGTGATTCACCTGCCGTGGCCTCCCAAAGTGCTGCGATTGCAGGCATGAGCGCCATGCCTGACCCATTTGTGTTGTTTCCATGTGACTCCTCTGCTCCTTGTTTGTAGATTCGCTTTGTTAGATTGTACCAGCCAGGGTGTCCAGCACAGAACCATGCAACATAAGGGGTAATTTGATTTAGTGTCCTAGTATCGTTATTTTGTTCACAAAGAGAGCTTATGAGCTCCCAAGACAAATAAAGGTACTGGTTGACAAGTACATCACCACAATCAAACAGCCTCACTGCCTTTCTGCACCTGCAGTTCCATTCCCTACTTAGTTCATGAAGTCATCTGTGGAAGTCTTTTGGCATACAACCTTAAGTCCTCAGAGCTATGGCTTCTTACTTCCTGTCAGTAAGCACAGTCCTTCCTCAAGATTATTTAAGCAGCTGGCTTAAATAATCCACATTTATTTATTTATTTATTTAATCCACAGTATACTGTGTTACTTGTGGAATGGCCTATGGATCTTGTGCAGTAGCATCACCTGGACTATTGGCAAAAAATATAAATTCCTGAGCCTTACCATTGATCTAACGTGTCAAAATTCCCAGGGGCACATCTATACACTTAACAAGTATCTCAAGTCTTTTTCACACACACTTAACTTTTGGAATTATTGCTCGTAAAGCAGTGGTTGTTAACCTTGGATGTACATTGCAATCACCTGAGGAAACTACATCTGGGCTCCACCTCCAAAGATTCTAATTCTAGAGTGTGGCCTGGGCATCATATTTTTAAGAACTTTCCAAGCGATCTTAACATACAGCCAAGACTAGCATCACTGTCCTAGATCCAGAGCACTGCTTTTCAAACCTGGCGTGTGCATCAGAATCATCTGGAGGTCTTGTTAAAGCGCAGGTTGCTGGGCCCACTCCCAGAGTTTCTGATTCAGCAGGTCTTAGGTAGAACCTGAGAATCTGCATTCCCAGGTGATGCTGATGACACAGTTTTAGGAACCACACTTTAAGAACCATTGGTTTAGAGAGTCAGTAATAGCATGTACCACTGCTACATTTTAAATAATTAAGGAAAAATCTTTTTGTTGCTTCGAAGACATCAGGGATATTTTTCAGCTTCCAGCCCTCATTTAAATAATTTTGCGCATTTTGAGCCCACTGTAGACTAGATCAAGTCATCCTTGTTATTAGAAGAATTATTAACCTCTTTTTCCTGGAGGAGATTTAGATTTAGATTCAAGTGAATGAAATTAGCATCTACTTGGCATAAATAATTGTGCTTCTTGGGGAAATTGCCCCTGGCAAAGCTGGAAGGAGTTTGAAAAGTGGAGATCCATGAAAGTGTAGGTCACTTCCAATATCATGATGTGTACTAGAGCAATAAAATGGTATGCAAAATAAAGTATCTCTGCGTAAGCACCTGAATAAATCTTGGCCTTGTCATTGTTAGCCCTGTTTCCGTTCCTGCTATTGCCAGAGATGGTAAGTACAGTGACTGATTCCTTTGGGACTAGGAATCACTGGGAGAGGCAGGGTGAATGGTCATCCAGCCTGCACATTGCACAACTCCAGGGACATCATTCATGGACTTCAGTGGGAATTGAACCCTCTGGAGCTGTGCAATGTGGCATTCCTGGGAGGGGGCTATATTTCTTCTGGAGTTATAGAAATCTTAAGAACCTTTCTCCAGGAACCAGGACCTAGAAAGCATTGTAGCACATGTCCAGAGGTCAAAGTTCAGTCCACTGTTGGTTCAGTCCACTATGGTCCAGTCCACCATACCTGCTTCCCCCATTGCCAGGCTGGCTTGGGATGACCTGCTGGGGAGGGGTATTAGTCTGTGTTCATGCTGCTGATAAAGACTTACCCAAGACTGGGTAATTCATAAAGAAAAAGAGGCTTAATGACACTTCCACATGGTTGAGGAGGCCTCACATCATGGAAGGCTTAAATGGCAGCATACAAGGGAAAATGAGAGCCAAGTGAAAGGCAAAACCCTTTATAAAATCATCAGATCTCATGAGCCTTATTCACTACTGCAAGAACAGCATGGTGAAAATCACCCCCACGATTCAATTATCTTCCACTGGGTTCCTCCCACAACATATGGGAATTATGGGAGCTACAGTTCAAGATAAGGCTTGGGTGGGGACACAGCCGAACCATATCAGGAGGAATGGGGAGAACAATAAATTCCCATGATGTCTGTTCACATGCACAAAGACACATGAAAAATCCTGCTGGATGAATGCTGATAGCAGCTTTGAGGGCTGGGGAAGGCACAGACAGGAGGCCTTTGTGTAGGGCAGAGGTCTTGAACATACAGGGCCTGAATCTACACCTGTGAACTTCAGGTCCTTCTGAGAGGCATGTATCAGAGTTGGATCTTGCTCTCCAGCCAGATTCCTTTATTCCTCACATATTTACCTTTACACAGCCTTCTATTCTTTGTATATCCCCTGTACCCCCTCTACAGCAACCACATATGACATATATCTTGGAGAACTTCCTATTTTAAATATTCTTATCTGAGTCCCGAGGTCTGTCTGGTTTCAGCTCTGGACATGGGGTCATTCGTGACTGCAGTCTGGAGTTCAGTCAGACATCTTTATCTCAACTTCCCCCGCAGGCAGTCACTCCTTCTAGAATTGGCATGAGCATCCTCCATCTCCTCAGTAGACGTAGGTCTGAGGCTAAGGTTCTAAGCTAGGAGGTGGGGGAGCCATGTCAGTGGGAATAATTGAAGTAAATAAAGCCATTGGTTTTTATGTAAATCTTTCAGACAACAAGAATGAAATTTCGCAGATAGATTGATCCATCTGTGTGTTTCATCTCATCAGCGTGGCTGTGTTTTGAGATGGAGTCTCTAAAGAAGTAATTGAGGTTAAATGAGGTCTTAAAGATGGGTCCCCAATCCAACAGGATTTGTGTCCTTATAAAAAGACCGCTATCTCTTGCTTCGCCATGAGAGGACATGGTAAGAAAGAGGCCAAC